GTAGCAGTAGCAGTTTCAGTAGCAGCAGCTGCTGCTGCAACGGCACTAGTAGACCCGTCCTTCATGATTCTCGGACGACAATTCGCGCAACGACCCAGAATTCATATCGCACTTTATGGCTCCGTGTACGCAATCCCTTGCGGCCCAACCCTACATCCCAAACCCGTGAAACATCTCTACAGGCCTGATCGTTGACGTCCGCTCGCATCTCCAGAAGCTCCGAGAGCAATAGAGCATTTCCATCCACGGCCGCGTAGCAGATAGGAGTCCAGCCTTTCAGCTCTCCCTACACCCCTAACACCCCCTGAACCCTAAACCCTAAACCCTAAACTCCCTAAACCCTATGCCCCCTAAACCCTAAACCCCTGAACCCCCTAACCCTGAATGCCCAAGCCCTAAACCCCCCCAAAACCCTAAAGTCCCCAAGGCCTCGAACCCTCAGTCCAAAACCTGCATCTCAGACTTCGAAGGTGAACACTGTCATCTTTCGGGTTCAAATAATAGACAGACAGACAGACAGACAGACAGACAGACAGACAGACAGATAGATCGATAGATAGGCAGGTAGTAGGTAGGTAGATAGATAGGTGGATAAATAGAAAGCAGATAAACAGATCGATCGACTTATACTCAGGCTTGAGTAAACTAGGCTAGATACACGTAGATTGGATTCGAAAATATTAGGTTAGCGTAGGTTATATTGGAAAGACAGACAGATAGATAGATAGATAGATAGATAAGTAGATAAGTAGATAAGTAGATAGATAAGTAGATAAGTAGATAAATAGAAAAGTAGATAAGCAGATAAGTAGATGGACAGCTAGCCGAAAAGCGAGCTAGCGGGGTAGGTACCCTGGAAGGTATGCAGGTAGGTAGCTAGGTCACCCGAAGCTGGCTAGGTCGGCTAGGTAGGTGCATGTAAACAACTCCAGATGTATGCATACACACGTATGCATGCATCTGCATGTGTGTATATATATATATATACATATTATGTAAAATGTGTATATATATATATGTATGTATATGTGTATAAAAATACATACATACATACATACATACATACATACATACATACATACATACATATATTTATGTATGCGGGTACCTAAACCAGTCCCACCTTCTGGGCTCCGCTCATCCACGGAGCGGAAGCCGTTTTGGTGCAGGAAGCTCGCAGCTGCGAAGGCAGCCGGATCCTGAAGATCGGATTCGAATCCCGGGATCATATCCTCGATCGGGTTGATGGGGAGATTTCGATACTGGACCCGCTGTAGGTTCAGCATGAGGCGATAGTCATGCCATTGGCCCCGCGCCAGGTGGAAATGAAGCTTCTTTCTCACCATGCCTTGAACCACCGGTGCCAGCTGACGCCTGTCTTCTTCGAGAGTGAACTCGCCTGCTCCAACTGGTTGAAAAACCCAGTTGAAAACTGGGGCAACAGCCAGCTGATGCGCACTTTGTATTTCGATGACCCTCGTGTCTTCTGTGTTGCTGAGCCGTCGTGCGGCTCTTTCAAGTCCTGGGCACTTCATAGGAGTTGAATAAAAAAGATAGTATATATATATATCATGTAATACAATATGCAATATAAGTTACCACATCGGGGAAAGCACATGACTTACTTGTTTCCCTGCTACGGCAACTTCAGCTACAGGCTTTAACCCTGCACTGCCAAAGGCAACACTGCCCAAGCATCTACTTATGTGGGTAATGTAGGGGCCTTAATAGTTAGAATAGGGTTTCGGGGTACATTTACTAGAACTATACCAAGGAACCCCAAAATAGTATAGGCAATTACTTAGGCCCTTGACGGTGCTTAACATGATCCCAGCGTCTGCACCAACCTCGATCTGTCCACGATCTTCGAGTGAGGGGCTTCCCCGACGCGGAATGCCAAATAGGGGGGCAAAGAGCCACGAAAAACCGGCAGCGCTCGACGTAAGCAGGGATGGAGCCAATGGCCAGGGCTCGATGGCTGTCTGACCACTGCGGACAAGAGAAGAAGTCGTACCACATGAAAAGAGGCTGAGCCACGAGCTCCTCGGAGGAGATCACGCTTTGCTGACCGGCATAAAGCTCGAAGGCAGTACCTGAGATCATCCTCGTGCCTGCCATCACGTTCCTCAGGGACACCTGGAGCTCCTCCAGTGAGGAATTGAAGCTTGTGAAGGATGCTGTAATACGGGGGTCCTTAAGAGTTGAATAGGGTTTTGGGGTATATCGTACTACAAATCATGATTGTTATAGTAAGGAGCCCAGAGGACAAACATTGATAATTCTTCAAGCTTCTACGTAGGCGTTGGGGCAATCACCTACTCCCGGTGAGCCACCAACCTGAAACCCTAAAAGCGGAGCACCTTGAACCATGTCATCAGCTGTCTACGCAAATCTTGACCCTAAACCTATGGACCCTGTAAGCCCTACAGGTCCTAAAGTCCTGTGAACCCCAAAAACCAAAGACACCCTACACACCCTAGAAACCCTATCATATAAACCCCATCTCAACAAGCCCTGTCCCGAAGCTGATGTAGGGGCCTTAACAATTAGAATAAGATTTTGGGGCCCATTCTACTATATTTAACCCTAAACCCCAAACCCTAAACCCTAAACCCTAAACCCTAAACCCTAAACCCTAAACCCTAAACCCCAACCCCTAAACCCTACATAGTTAGGCCCCTAGAGTAGCCGGGCTCCTTGAACTGGGCCATGCTGGGGTCGGGATGGTGTTCACCAGCCCACTGGTGGGAAACAAACATCGCCTGGGCTTTGAAGTAACCGGGGAGAAAAAAGTATAGACTTTTGTTTCATAATGGTTCCTTCAAGGAACAGGTCCCCAAAAAAGTATTAAAGTATGGTACTCCAAAGCCCAGTCGCATTCCCCCGGTCGTCTTCAAACTCCAAGAGTGTCCCATCCTTGAGCAGCGCCTCAAGAGGGTAATGTAGGGGCCTTCATAATTAGAACAGGGTTTTGGGGGGTATGTTGTACGAAAATTATCTTCAGGAACCCCCAGAATGGTATAGGTAAGTTATTAAAGTGCAGGGGTCCAGACTGATTAGCCTTGTGTTCCTTGAAGGATTCTTGTGGAGGTTCTATGTATTTTACTCCACACGCGGCAAATTTCAGCCAACGCTCGACAAACATGATCTATCAGGACGAGACGGGCTGCCACAACGACTGCCGCTGCTGCTACTTAATGATGGTTGATGATGATGAGATTTTTTCCTGCCAAATCCCACAGCCTTCCTAGTTTAAACCCTGAACCCCAAACCTAAACCCTAAACCCCAAACCCTAAACCCTGAAAATCCTAAACCCCTTTCATATTTTAGCGCCTCGTGCGGCATCAGCTCCTGCATAAGCAACGCAGTCTCCACGGGCACCACATACATAGGGAACTGCCTCGGAGGATTCGGATTTAGAAAAAAGGGGCCTCAATATTTACCAATACCATTTTGGGGGCCCCTTAATCAAATTATAGTATCATCTACCCCACAACCCTATTCTAATTATTATAAGGCCCCTATATTAATTAGCGTTTCAGGTCGAGCCCCAGGGACATCGCATTGGTTCAGAAGTTGGGGTGTGTGGAGGAGACCCAAATCATTGCAATAGAATTCAGTAGTTGCACAGGACACGCCAACGGTGAGATTAGAAGCCCACAACCCCGAAATCACTTGATCGAATCATGACATCAAGCAGACGATTTTCAGGCTACAGAATGTGCAGTGGTAGTACCCAGCGAAAACATGGCGGTCTGGAAAACTACGAATCTTTGGTATTTAACGTACTTGAAGGAAAAAACACATCAAACAATCAACACCAGGCCCAGTTCAAGCTTTTACCTTGAAGCGAAGAAGCGACTTGACCTGAGATCATGAAACCCTGTAATGAGCCTTTATTTCGGGAGATTGGAACAAGAAGCCCCTCAACCCCCTTTAAATTCATAGCGAGGCGCTCCTCACCAAAGTCATCCACGTCCTGAAGGCTCGCATCATAGCTCCTTAAAAGGTCTGGCGCCCTTGCGACGCAGCAGGCGTTGAGCATGCCCGGTCAACTGTGAGCCACCACAAAAACAACACAGCCTGTACGAGAAGCTAAAACATGCAGGGCTTGCCTGGACCCTGCGAAAATCTACATTTGCAGCGTTCCTTATTATGAGTTCCGTGATTAGACAAGTTCCTAAAAGCGTAGGTTATTTGAGGTCAACCCTAAACCCTAGGTACGGCTCGCTGATACAAGGCCAGGGCAAATCTTACACCGGTGCTAGCAGGGAAACAAGCCAGAGCTCTACCGGGAGGCTCCCTGTGAAGACCTGTAGCGATTCAGGGGTCTCCATAAGGATCGAAAGAAGTTACGGATAGTAGTTTTGTAGCTTAGTATTATTGGACACTTATGGTTTGGTCCAGGGACTCATGAATTCGGGCACTGAAGGGTTACTATGGTGGTTTAAAGTTTAGGGTTTAAAGTTTCGTCCCTAAGTTCAGAGATTCAGGGCCTAGAATTAGAAAGGAGGTCCTTCTTGGAG